TCCCAGTACCACCAGGATTTATTTCCAGCAGCTGTGTTGCCCTCTGTGCTATTTAAATCATGCCATTTGCATTTTGTTTCCTGCAATAAAAGCATAAAAAAAAAATATAAAAAAAAAAAAAAAAAAGAGAAAGAAAAAAAGGGAAGTCCTGATATTGGATTTTTTTTCCCTCTTTTTTCATTCCAAGATTGGCATTTCAGGATCATTACCTGCTGTGGACTGGACTCCCTCCCTCTATCCACTGTGCTATTCCAGTTTGTTGGTTCAAAAACTGGAATAACTTCTCAGCACGGATTTGAGATGTGGGATGAGCAGCTCCACAGTTCCTCCCTGCTCCTTTTTTCCCTTTCCCCTAACTCACATCCTTCCATCTCCACTGCTCTGACCTGCAGGTGGATTTTGTGGGATGAAAGGCCCAGGGGTTCAGCATTTCCCTGAGGCTGGAGGATATTAAAAAGGATATTAAAATTGCCATGGGGCAATTGAAACCAGTGTGTGGATTGTTTTTTATTTCCTTTTTGCCCAGAGCCCAGCCCCTTGGTGAGGGGCTGTTTTTGTGGAGGGCAGACTCTGGAGGTGAGGAATTCTCCAGGATGTGGCACCCTCTGAGCCCTGGAGCCCACAGCCCCACAGGTTTGCAGCACATTTTCGGAGTCCCTCTCTTCATGGAGGATCCATGCAGCCCTTCCCAGGTGTGCAGCATCCACGGAGCCTGAGCAGCCAGCTCCAGCCCAGGGAGCCCTTCCCAATGCCAGGAAATATCAGAATTCAGGCAGCCCCGGCTCAGGGGAGAGATGATGGTGTCTGCTCCAGATCAGGAGGCTGAAGGATTGCTTTATTATAACTATATTACATTAATATACTATTTAAAGAGAGACTGTGCTATTCTCCATACTTCTTACTTACCCATCTAATTAATTAACTCACTTGTGACTCTCTGCTGAGCCACAGCTGGCTCCATTGGTCACTGACCCCAAACAACTTCCCCAGAATCCAGCCCAGCCATCCCTGCAGGTGAACAATCTCCAACCACATCCCACATGGGCAAAACCAAGGAGCAGAGATAAAGATTGTTTTCTCTTCTCTCTGTGGGACAGAATTGTGTCTCTGTGCAGAGTGAGTGTCACAAGGAAGCCACCCCCTCCAGGAGCAGCAAATCCCCTCATTCCCTCTGAGCTTTCTGAGCCAGCAGGGATGCAAAGGTAACTTCATGTGCTGCTACCAAAAATCAAACCAAAGCAGCTTCTTCATCCTGTGTCACCCCCACCCAGTGATTCACAGCCAAGTGAGCTCCAGGCTGCTGTCCCAGCCTTCCCAAGTGGTTTCACTGGCAAGAATAATCTCTGGTTGATTTAATGACCCTTCACTTAAAGGTCAAGGTTAGAGTGGCTTTTTTGTTTGGTCTTCTTTGTAGTTGGAGTGTTCAGCCTATCAATCACAGTGTGTCCTATCAATCACTGCACACAGGTGAATAAAAGCATTTCCTGAACTGTCATATCCAGGTAAAAACAACAGCTGCTGCCAGCGAGGGAATGCATGAGCAGAAGCAAACCTGAAGGATAAAGACTCATTAGTCACAACATGCCTTTGAATCCCTTCTCTGTGTGAGCAGCTCAGCTCTGGGATGAGCATAATCCTTATTTACGATAAATTAAGCTTATCTTTGCACTCTGGGGCACCTCCCACAACGATGACAGATTGATTTTGCATTCTGCAGAAACACGTTTGCCTGCACCACTCTCAGGGTTTGGCTTCCCTGAGAGCCTCCCTCCCCTCCAGTCTGTTCCTACAACACTCCTGCACGTGGAAATCCAGCATTTACCTTTTTCTATTTTCAGCTCAAAGCCCCAGACCATGATCCTGTCCTAGAAGAAAATTATCTTGTGCTAATTGAATGACAAAAAAACCCCCAAAACTCAGAAACACAAATTGCATGGGACTTTTTTTATTTTCAATGCTTACAGAGATAGAAATAAATACAGGAAAGAGAAGATTATTTTAAAAGAAATCAATCAATCCTTCCAACAGGAAAAATTGTATCCAAGAGCTGCTTCAAACTGGCCACCATTCCAGAGATCAGGAACAGGGTAACAATAATGGGAATAACTAAAGTTAAGCACTGCCACAAACCAGTGTCAGGAGACAAAATAACCACACTACAGCAGGAGTCTCACATATTTACAACATACCTATCATACAAAACCAGTGGGAAGTGTTTAGGGAGTTATTTCTTCTGTGTCCAGCTGTAAGATACAAAAGATTCACCAGAAAGGGTTTGGTGGTTTGGTTCCTCTCCCCAGTATCCACAGAAGCGTTTCTGTATTTGCCAAAGTTTAGAAAATCCTTTGTATTGCAAGAATTTTTCCTCCAACCTGAACTTCTCTGTGCCTCCATCCCTGGTTGTCATCAGCACTGTCACGCTCTGGGGCAGCTGGTCAGAGGACAAAGAGTTTGTGAAGCTCTGCCTGGGGTTCTATCGGTGCTCTGACCTGTAGGCTGGGAAAGTGTCCGTGCGCTGCAGCTTCAGGGGGCTGGAAACACCTTCACCAAGAGATGGAGAAACAGAACAGCCCCGTCAAACACAGGCACCCCAGCCAGTCATTTACACACAGACCAATTCATTAATTACCAAACAGAACA